ACTGAGTAACTCCCAACCAAAAGAAGGGAAACATTTTGCTTCTTGTTTTCAATAAAAATTATATAGCCTTTGTGTTTCTTCCCATCCTTGGGCAGAATTTCCTGTCAATCACAAATGCTTTGTGGGGCAGATTATTTCCCTGCAGCCCCTGGGGCTCAAGGGCAGAATTAAACTTTTGTTTGATTTCTATATGTCACTGTATTTACTTTTACTGTCTGACTGTACAGGTCCAAGCCCCATTCTTCAGTAGCAACAGCTATTCAGCATTCCATAACAGTCAAGAAGAGGAGTTTGGATGGATGCTGCTGCTCAGAAAACTGCTGCATCCCAGTTCTTGGGGCTGGGAGGAGGGGCTCTGCGCACCAAGCCAGGCGAGTACGGAGCCCTCCAGCTGGACCAGGTGCCCTAGAGAGTTACGCACTCTACAAGGTCGGCCAGTGCGGTGCACTACACCGCAGCTCCCTTGTTCTCCTCCATGTCTCTTCCCCGCCTACGCTGAATGCTGCTGCGCTCACCCAGAGAGGCTGTCCAACTGAGGACTTAGCAGCCTCTCTCCTAGTTTAGTCAGTAAAACCAGTACCCTACCGGGACTTTGGACTTTGGCTTCACATTCACATAGTTCTCATCAGCATCGCTGGGTGCCAAGAACAAAGCTAATTCTAGCATATGCTCCTGTGGACAAAGGTACTCTCCTCCAATTAAGTTCCAGTCTGCTTCTGATGGGTGAAGGAACAAGACCTGTTCCTCTCCCACCTTCAGATAATAAAAAGACTGCCCTTCCCCATTACACACAACAGTCATAAATGTGGCTTTCTAAAAAACATGGTAAGAAAACGTAGAAAACCATTACAGCTCCTACAGGACATTGCCACTGATGCAAACTTTATTGTAACCATTTCTGAAAATCTTCTCTTTGCAACAAACCATTCCAACAAAATTATACACTGCTCTTACTGGCAACAAAACTGCTGGTTGAGGCTGTTATTGAAACTGGTGTGGTTTTTCAGAATGAGTTCTGAACAGGCAATTTCATTGTGTCCATGGGGTTCCAGATGGCTATTGATTATGTCTATATGATACGTAATGCCACCATCATCTATTTTAAAGATTAAAAAAGAAAGTAGACAGAAAACCCATGAATGCTGCCAGGCAGCGCTGAAGGCTGAGGGCCCTCATTTCCAAAGAATGCGCCATATGGTAGTCAATATACCTGCCCTTATGCTGCACCACCAGCAGTTCCCGTTGTGAGTGAGGGACTAATTCAGCTTCTGTTCTGAGGCAAATCTTTGCAGAAGTAGCCAACAACAATACCAAGTCTCGCCATTAGCACTCTCTCCATGGGAGTGACTGGGTTCATCAAAATGGCATTTTTAACGGGAAAATATACAGCCCAAGATTCTGGTCCCAAGTACAACATCATAGCACTGCAATATTAATAGGATCCAAATGAGTCCCACTCACCCTCAAAATGTGTGACGACCATGTTAAGCAGAAGGGCATTCAAACCCAGAGGTGAAAGGCACATTTCTAGTCTCTCTCCACGTTTCTGGTGAACTTTCTCAGAATACCATGTGGGGATTTCCTACTGCCAAAGGTTCCCAGTCCCTGCCTAGTCATTTTAAGGAGGACTTGCAGTGTCGCTTACCCCATTTTCTTCTAGCGCTGCCAAGGGTTTGTTAATGCTGTTGACAAACTTGTTGACATGCTCAAAGTGCTTTGTCATTTCTGTTGCTAAGACCATGTCAATAATGGCTTGGCGAAGGGTTCGATACTCATTCCTGTTTAAAGAAGGAAACAATTAAGAATGCTGGCTGGTTCACAAAGGGCTGCTTGCTAAAACAAGTCTAACAAAAATGCTGCAGACCATTTCCGTTGAAGAGAGGTGCTGGGGAAAGAAAGAACAGTAGTAAAGGCTTGGGCAGCAGTATCTTTGCTGGATGAAGTACCCTTTGGTGTGCAGAGACATATGTGCTAGAGGCATGACTGGATCTCTAGGAGGAACAGTGCAAGAGTGGGGCAGAAGCAGAGGCACCAGCTACTCAGGACGGCTGCCAGGACATGCCACACCGGCGTGTTCCCAAGGCTTTTAGCACAGATGCTCAGCAGTGGCTCATGCTCTAGCCAAGTTTTCAGCAATACTTTTCTGCTGTATCTTGAGAGGGTCAAGGCAATGGTCATATCCTCACCCTAAATGCCTTTCTAGGGCTGGAAAAAGAACAACAGGTCTTTCACTATCCTTCCCATTGCAACAAAGCATTTACTTTTTGACTGATGCTCTGTGACTCTTTCTATCCTTGTTCTACCCAGCAAACATCTACCCACTCACCCAGAGCTTGTCCTCTACGTGCAATGATACAAAATGCTTCTTCTAGACTTGCTAACATTAGGATTTACACTAAGTTCCTTAGACAGGGTCCATGTTTTTATCTACAGGAGGAACTGAAACCATGGGATTACTCGTAAGTCTGTGCAGGACAGGCAGAAGCACTCTACTGTTTTAGAAGCAAACTTCCACAAGTGCTACAGACAGTTATCCACAAGGCACTGCCCTCCTAGGATGCTTGTTTGCATTATCTTATGTTACACAGAAGGAAGTGAGAGATGTTAGTGGGCAGACAAGGACCCTGGGTTTTAAGCTTACCTCTCCATGTTTTTAAATATATTGCATTTGTCATCCCGGGTGGTGAGCTGGAAAGCCAGGGCAGCGTGATGGCTCTCCAGCACTGCGGTGTCATTGTAGAGAATTGCTAGCTCACTGCCAGCATTGCACAGGAAAGAATTTGTTCTTCCTGGGTGATCCACGTCATGGACTGTGGCAGCAATGAGTGCGGCAACCTCATCAATTGGATCCAAAGTTTGCTGAAAATAGAAGGATGCTTAGTTTTCCTGGCAGACTCATTAGAAACCCTACTCTGTCCATAAGATTAAGCCAAGTTGCTGAGGAATAAAAGCCAGAACTCTACAGATCAGTAAGGGTCAGATGTTCTAGACGGAGCAATGGAAAATTCATTATAAGCTTCATTGAACACTGCATGACTTTTTTGGCCATTTTGTGCCTCTTGAATTTTGCCTTAGCCACACCTTTGACAAAGCACATAAAATTAAACAAATGCAAGTAATAAATTAGTTTGTGTTTTCTAACAACACAGAAACCACCTTCACTTGGAGTTAGGGTATTTGGCTTGGAAAAAAGACCAATACTGCTAAAAATTATTCTATTTCCACCAGACCCCTTCATTTCTTTTGGAAACTTAATGTATCCTAATCACATTCCACTTACGTGCCGGCTAGGTTTACAATTTGTAAGGAATGTTTCCCATATATCCAGTTCTATAATAACAGTGTCCTGGGGCTACAGCTAATATGAATTCTGTGAAGAATACTTGATGCTTTACATCCATGGAAACATTTCATGACACACTGTTCTATACTTTCTGTATCAGATTCCGATTCTCTTAGTGTGCTGCACTCCATGCTTTATGTCTACTTATATTGGTCATTGCTTTATGTCTAATTATGTCTACCCTATAATGAAATACAAAACTATTTGACTTTTAAGGTTTTATACTTAAGTTTTAATACTGTATTAATAGCATAAAGGAGAAAAAGAATGAAGCATCTCAGAAATATATTGTATACATTCGGAAACTAGCCTTTATGCTGTGTTTATGCTGGCTTTTTGTGAAGGATCATAGATACAAAGCAATTATGTTAAAAATTTTAATAAAATGAAAGAGACACAAGAGCAGAAATGTTCCCAGTTGAATCTGGGAGCAGGGCAGATAATTTCCGTTCCAATTAGCTTGAATTTAAGGTCCACATTCTCTACCGGCTTTGACAGTACAATTCAGAATGGTTAGACTTGGTAGGTGAAAAGACAATCCCTACCCTACTTTACACCTCCTGAAATTAATGCAGTGACTTGACTTTGATGGAGCTAGGATATTATTCATTGAGGACTGTCCAGAGGGTCTTGTGGAGAACAAGAAAAGGCAAAGAATTATTTCTACTCTAGGTTCATAGTTAGCATTGTCTGAAATACTATCTGCTCTGTGTTAGCTTCTTCCTTCTTTCTTTCAGCTGCTGCTCCTGGGATTCTGTTTTTGTGGTATGAAGTTAGGAGAGAGAGATTTTTAGAACAGGCTCTTCTCAGAAGGACACACTGACCAGTGCTCAGTCTTGCTGAGAAAGACCTGTGCAGATGGGAAGTGGCCAGAAACTGGAGAATACCTGGCCTGTAGAACCACAGCAGTGTATCTGACACTTACTTCTCGAGTCTGACATAACAAACTCCACAGGGATTTACAGCACCTTTACCCCCAACTTCAGGTCAAGGATTCTAACTTTGTCATCTTAACTCCTGTGGCACAGAAGTGGAAATGATTCTGAGAATACTGCTTCAATTTAGGAGGCAGAAAATTTTCCCAGGCAAGAGCCGACTTCAATTTACTGAAAAAAATTTTCTCAGTGTGAATTTGAGTGGCAGAATCTGGCCTTCTTTATTTAGGTTAAGTTGAACTCTGGACAACACAAAAGCAGCTGGGCTGTAACTTTGAAAAGATAAAGAGAGAATTTTGAACTTTGATTCGGCTCCTTCTGCTGCTGCAACATTTTTTTCTCTTCCTATGCCTACAGAGGAATGGAAATAACATTCTGGACAAGGAGGAGCATTGAAACAAGTCCAGATCTTGTCTGTTTTTCATAGATATTCTTGGGAAGACCAGCTAAACCTCTGGCAAACCAGGGGCTGAAAATACCCAGTGAAGTTCTGTTCCCACTTGGCATATAGTATTTGTAAGTCAGCCTCTGGAGAGCACACTAATGAGCTGCAGCTCCAGGGTAAGAGACTTACTACAGTTTTAATGAGCTGTCAGAAGCTTGTTTACGGTCACAAATGTCTCAGCCAGGTGCCCATCACTAGCACTATCCTTAGGCAGGCCAATTCAGGGTAGGAATTTCTATCCAAAAATGCAACTCAGAATTATGTACTGCCACTCCACTGCATACACATGCAAGCACTGTTTTAATTCCCCTTCTCCAGTCTGCCCTCTGGGCATGTGAGAACAAAGGTTGCTCTGATTTATTCTGGTTGTCAGTGGCTCTAATACGCCAGTGGGTGCTATGGTACAAGAATTTCAACAAGTTATCTTTTTCAAGACTCTCCTCCAGTGCAGTCTCTTTAAGCCTCAGGGCATCTTGTCCAGTGCGTGATACAGCTTTGGAAGCACTAAACCTATTTTATGGCCTATATTGTCCTGGGAGTCTTCTGCAAAATGACCATCACAAGGCATAAGAGATGGTGATTTATTATATTAAATCTGTATTTGGCATGTACCGTCACAAAAATAATTTGGTCATTAGCTCACCTATCTGAGAAAGTTTAACTATACAATGAAGTTTTGTTTTAGAAGGAGGTTTTCTTATTCTCCCATCAAGAATAGTTCAGTTCCTGTAATATTAGTGTCCATCCTTCCACATATACTATAAGAGAGATCCTAGAACTCATGTAAAGCAGCCCAGTTCTTTGACCTCAGAGTTACCAAACTGGTTGGCACTAGGTAGACATTTGGCTCTTGGCATCTTTTTTTGAGAGATCTTCCTTTGATCACACCTGTACTTCCCACCTACACTGTTTCTTATAAATGTGGACTCACCTTTACTCTTTCTTTAGACAAGAAATAAGCAGTGGCATGTAGTACATCTGCTGAATGAGTAGAATTATGGTAGGAGTTGGAGGAATGGTAGTTAGCTTCAATAACTTGTAACCATGACCTCAGAGTTGATTCTGAACAGTTTAGGAATTCACAGATTCCAAAGCGAGCAAATATTTTGAGACCCAGATAAACCAAAGGCCTGTGGAGAAAAAAAAACACAAAGTTTTAAAACAAATGAGGTTGAAAGAATATTACATAGCATAAATAGCATGAATCTATACAGCATTTTTAGCCAATGACATGTCAGATTAGGTATAAGGACTTGTTACAGAATTACAATCCAGACCTGTAGGAATGTTCTGCCTACCCATCACACGCACACACTTGGAACCATGCCAGTTCCTGACACTTCCAGGAATATTAAAAAGGCTCTATATTGCTGCTATACTACATGTAGCAGTATTTTGGGGATTGGGGAGTCTATGTTGGGTAACTGTAGACTGCAGTCAACATGAGATAAATTAGCAAGTACTAAACTCTGTGCATGAGAGCAGGGAAGTAATCTTGCTGCTGCCACAGATTCCTAAACTAGCTTGTTTACAGTTAGATTAAACATATCTATACTATACAATGCTGCAATCACTATTCTTTCTGCACTGCAGATCTGCTCCATTTCTTTTACACCCACCCTCGCAAGCTTCCATTGCTCATTGACTTTGCATGCAATAGAGGACGAGAGATGGAGGTATTCTGGAAGCAATGACCAGGCCAGAGTGTACCATTTCTAGAAGACTAGATAAGGGCTAGATGAACCTTCAGGCTAACCCAGTCGGAGACCTGTCTCCAAAAACAGCCAACATCACTGTATTCCAGTACTCTTGCTTCTCCCCAGGCCAAACTGCACAATTTAAACCCAGATGACTGGCAGGTGAATGACGATCAGACCAGCAGTATAGAATATTTCTAATCTGAAAGCTGTGGAAGTGCAATATGCTTAATAGAGCAAATGAAAAAAAAAAAAAGTTTTAGTCCACTAGCCTTTTTTCAAACCCAGTTAATATTGCTGTTTTCTTGTCCAATACATTTTTTGCTTAAGAAGAACAGGTATAGTGGTAAATATTTTCAAATGTGGATTCTTAAAAGTAGATCTTAAACTCTTATTTCGGCATCTCACTTTGCTGCTTGATTCCAGATGCATCAAACACTCTGATTGCAGCTAAAAAGCTGCACCTGACAGGTGAGGTGAGGTCATTTAGAGCTGCTGACGTCATTTAAAGTTGGATGTACATCTTTTGGTAAAAACACTGAACAATACTGTGTCATACACTAGAATCATAATATACTGAAGTTAAATCCCCCTTAATCCCCCCCACGTAGCACTGTCAGACAAAGGTCTCTCCAGGTTTCTGTGTCAGTGAATTGTAATGCACTAAAGCTTAGATTTAATGACTTATCTTGGCTTTACTACCATACGTCTGCTTGGACTTGAAGACAATACTAATAACATATTCATACTTGTGATTCATGGAAGATCACTTTAATTCGCTTAATAAATGAATCGCCTTTATTTAAACACAGCAGGAAGCAAACATAATTATAATACCTTTAATAAAAGGACAGGCAACAAAGTACCTCCTTTGTCCTTCTGTGGTCTCTCCAAATCAGTAAGAACAGAGAAACCTATCTGGTGATCTCATGCATGTTGGCTGGGATAATTAATTCTTAAGTTACTGCAATGTGCGTATTAAATGTTGTAAATCACACAGCCTGACTGCATTTTGACTTTTTTTAAATTACTGTATCTATAGCACTTCATTAGAAATGGAAATGTAGCAAAGCAAAAAAAAAACCCAAAGTAACTGGATGCAAATTTCTTCACTTACAATAAAATCACTTTAAAGAAGGATAAAAAACTGATTTTTTTCCCACTTTTTTGGCTCATAAAACCATGGTTTACAAATGAAGTGCATATATGTGAACTAAATGCCTGATATCTTTCTTAGACATTGTTTTTTAATACCTTTCAAAGCTCTTACGGATCTGGGATTTTGACAAGGGTTTAAGATAGTCAATTCATTGCAGGATCTAGCCTCCAAATTAGTGTCTCATAGAAGCTTTAAGCTAAGACAAACAATGACACATGAAACTAGACCCAAAGGAAAACTTTTGATAGGCATCTGAAAATAAAAACAAGGATTTAAACAGAAAGATCAATTTACAGTCTTAGTGGGAACATTTGCTACTAATGAAGTACAGTCTATCAACACTGCTGATCTGCTTTCGAAAACTTCTGTGATAGAAATTGGTGTGCCCTACTTTTTATCAGTAAATATTCTTCAGTTAATCTTACACACAAAATGTAGCCTGCCAAGATTTTAGAATAAAGACCTTCCTCTAATCCCAGAGAAAGGCAATGGGAAATCTGCTGAAAAGCTGTATTCAAACTGTTTAGGAATAAAAATTACCCAATTACATGGAGAGAAAATAAAACACAATCCGTATCAACTGATCAGATTAAGACCAGCACGTTGACTCTGTGTGTAGTTGGCCATAATTTGAATTTGAATCCCCACAAGACAACAATTTGATTTGTAGAACTTTTCTATTATTGAGAACAGAAAAGGAAGGCTTTTTAAATGATGTTTTGTTATTATATCATATCAAAGATAATCGTCACTTACATCCACTGGGAATCTGCAGGAAATAGTGTATGATAAAACAGAAGATATTTAATGGGTTCATACACAACTAGAAATGACAATGAGAAAACTTCAAACATTTGACTTTGAAAAAAAAAGTAATCTCATTTTAAAAGCACAAGTAGAGAAATTAAAGAGCTGATTACAGGATGACATTTGAGTCAGTTTTCAGCAACTTCAATTTATGAGCTCTTGAGTTTACTGACCTTTTATGGGTGGCAGCCTCAAGTTCAAAGATATCAAAATCCCAGTGTTCTTCATTTTCCATTGCCTGTGTTATCCGTGGGGGTATGTCATTGAGGGAGATTGGAGAGATCAAACTGCCAGCAACCTGATGAGTTTCTGTTGAGGAATATATTTGCAGATCACTATTAATAACCCTAAGATAGACTTTTACTTTAAAAGTTTTCTTTTCTGTAGTAACGCCTGGCAACTCTCATTTCTATAAAGCTCAGTAATGCTGCAGAACAATGCTTATAAATAAAAATAAAACAAAACCAAACAATGCTTATAAAAAAGAACACCTGATCACATTTCCCCTGTTCCTTAAATTTCTTAACATGCTTTAATATCTCAGTAACCACAAAAATCTCAGTAACCACCTCGAGTACTGTGTTCAGTTTTGGGCTCCTCACTACAAGAAGGACATCGAGGTGCTGGAGCGTGTCCAGAGAAGGGCAAGGAAGCTGGTGAAGTGTCTAGAGCACAAGTCTTATGGGGAGCAGCTGAGGGAGCTGGGGTTGTTTAGCCTGGAGAAGAGGAGGCTGAGGGGAGACCTTATTGCTCTCTACAACTACCTGAAAGGAGGTTGTAGTGAGGTGGGGGTCGGTCTCTTCTCCCAAGTAACAAGC